ATCTTGTTCCAATTGATGGCGGCATGATACCATGTTTCGGTACGTAGTATCTTGTCCTCTAGTTCGGAACCTAGTTCTGCAGCATTATATGCTTGTCCTTGGTCCGACGTGGTCCAATTTACATTGTACCGTAGTCGTCGACTAGTCCATTCTAACATTTGCTGCCATGTTAGATCATATATTTGTTGATCCATAAGCTCCTGCGCTTGAGCCCTGGACGAACTCGGGTGGGTCGTAGGAGGGGCTTCTACTGGGGGGGCGACTGGCCCCATCCTCCTCAAGTCGCTGGTCGATGACCATTCCGGCTCGGGTCCAGGGGTCTGACCTGTTGTCATGGTCGGGTGGAAAACCGATGATCTGGTATCGGGAGAATATCTCGTATCCTGCATCCCAGTCATCGTTCCAGTCCCATACACCCCTGCAGTATCTGTAGTACTCATCCCAGATCTCCAGGGCATCTTCACATCTCCAGACCCAGGGCCATAGGTCTCGGGGTGGGATAAAGCCATGGTATCCATCGGGTAGGAACCCTCCTTCTGGGGCAAGGAGGGGTTCAAGCTTGATGGAGGGTTCTGCTCCCTCATATTCATCGGCGGCCAAGTTCCTGAGACGTCGACAGATGGAACAGTTGCAGTAGGGGTATGGATGGGGGGTCTGGTCAAGCTCCCTCGGGATGTGGTTCAGGAGGATGATAGGGTCCGGAAAGGGTTGGTCTCTGGCAAACCAGTCGAGAATTCTGTCTCCCTCGGGGGTGTCTCCCAGGAAGATAACCCACTGTCCCTGACTAAATGGGGATCCTGGGTCGGTGTAGTACTCTGGGAGCTCCTCATTATTACTGTCAGAGTACTCGGTGAATACAATATTCTCAGCTCGTCCGAGTATGACGTCGTCAGGTCCATCTTCGACGGTGTCATTAGTGGAAGTTTCTGAGATGTGGGCGAAGTGTGGCTCTGCGAAATCTCTGAGGTCGGCGATGGTGATAATTGTTCGGGGTAGGACTTCGGACTCGGGACAGGGGGAGGGCCAAACAAAGTCAGACTCATGGACGGACTCGTCATCCCACCAGGATGGGGGTCCTTCGACTCTGTAGGTTCCATCAGGGGTGTATGACGCGAGAGAGGTTGGAGCATCATACCACTCCAGCTCGGGAGATTCATCTCTTCGATGTCCTCCTGTGTCGGGTATTCCCCGTACTTCCCCTCATTCCCGGGCAGGGAGGAATGGGTTTTCACCTTCTTTGAAGGTGGTTCTTTGCCTGGTTCGTCCGTGGACAATTCGACTGAATACGTCGTGGTAGAACCCACTTGTTCCTCTCTGATAGAGGTGCTCTCCATCGTCGTCGAACCCTGGGATGGCTGCGGATAACTCTGTGGAGGTGATGGATGGCTCCTTGGAGTCATTGTCATCGCCCCATGTCGCGTTGTCCCAGGATCCGTCCGTATTGGTCCAGTACTCGGTGGTAAATCTGGGGTCGACTCGGTCGTCTCCATCGTCTGAAGGGATGCTGAGTCGTCCGAGCTCTTCTTCCCAAAGGGATTCTTCGCCTTCACCATCTTGGTGATCCTCTCCCTGAAGCTCGAGCGTGGGGGGTTGCTCTTCTCTGTCGGGTAAGGGGTGTCGAAGTGTGTCTCGCTCCCCCCTTGGCCGTGGTGTGAGGGACCAGAGCCGGACGGTGCTTGTTGTTCGTGAGGTTCCTGCTGATGAGCCATTGAGCCCATGTACTCTCCCTCTTCTGGGGGTCGGTGCTCTTTGGCGGCGGGTTGGTCAGAGGATGTGGAGAACTGCAACTGCAGTTACTAATGTCAAGATACTGAAGGCACTTCCGAAGATAATGGCGGTGTGGTCTGAGGGGGTGAGTGGCATAAAGTTCGTTGTACCACAACGAATGTTTATGATCTCGAGGTACGGTGGGTGCCGTTTTAAATAACGGGCTGAAGGTTTCTTTTCTTTGGAAGTATAACAGTGACTGCCTTGAAGCGGTACAGTTACCGTTTGACAACGGTAAGGGTAGTAAGGGCAAGCTTCAGCTAATTGTTAAGCACTAACTCGAACCTTCACCAAGGCTGATCTCTATCCTGTCACTCGCGTTCAGTGATTCAGTGTTAGAGAGGCATTGGTAGATTGCGAGAAGTTAGGCGTCACTTTATAGCGAAAGCAGGGAGCTTGTAAGAGTTAGGAGTATATAACCTTAGCCAAAGCTGGGGTCTAAGGCCACAGCGTAGGCTAGCTTAAATACATGTTAGGCTCGTACTAAGAATAGTGTCTACAAGGGCACGTGCAGCGAGAAGGGTGTCTTTCAACGAATGAGGAGGGAGGACACTAAAAGAAGTGTACTCCCGACGAATGAGAGTAAAGAGCACATATCACCTGCATCTGCACGGGACTCCGTCTGAATAGGCTGCATCCCGTAGACCGCCCTCGACTGGCGGTCGACTCTCGTCCAACTACTAAGAAGCATGATGCCATCAAGAGAAGCATGATGGCGCATGCGGGTCGCTGGTCATATGGGAGGTGGCAGCATGAACTGGGGTGACGGCAGCCAGGTAACCGGGTAAAGAGGGTGCCGGCGGAATATCATGGGTCTGAGAGATAAGATAGGTAGGTCCGGGGTTCCGATGGATAAGGATAAGATAAGATAAGGAAAATAGGGGTAAAACCGTAATACCAACCCTGGGTAGTACATCGGTTAGGATATGACCTGACCTCACTGGGTTCAAATCCCAATAGGAAAATAATCATAAAGGTAGGTAACCATTATTTTTCATCCTTTTATGCTTGAGCTGGAAAGCCAGTTGGTAACTCAGTGTTTACTATAGGCTACCATGCTAATATTATCAGAGCTGGGTACATTGTTCTGGTTTTTAGCACACAACAGAACAATTGGTCTTTTAAGTGATAGATGTAGAACCCAATGTTCATATGCAATATGAACGATCAAATTTGGGATGGACAACTTGGAACTTCCCTGAGCCCTAGGATCAACAAAACATGGTTGTCGATCACCCTAATATATGGCTGGGAATCGAACCCATACATACCATGCGGAGCCATACAGGTGCACTACCAGAGTGCAGGGATCATCGATACAGATGTGTATTCAAGTACGTAGACTAATGGTATCAAGGGAGAAAGAAGGAGAATTACTACCATATGAATATTTCCCTCTGAGCGCCAATGCACACAGAACAGTATCCCAACCTGTAAAGCCAAGGGTCAATGTTTAAACAAAGGAGGGGATTGCACTTGGAAGAGAATCCGAGATTGACCAAAGACGTAAACTGGAAACACCTGAAGGAAAGGGATTCTTTGTCAAAAAGGAGTCAAACTATGCACCTACTTATCATATAAAAGGACAGGCTTACTTCGCTGTGACGCGAAGAACAAACAACCTCCTCCATACCCTCCTTAGCACAGGACTGTGTCATCCTCATCTTAACAGAGATTGAAAACAGATCAAGGGTGGGAGATAAGAAACAACGACACCACTGGAACCTCTCCGGTAGTGAGTGTAACGGTCAGTACACATGCTGCATCTGCTATGTTCGGTCCTCATTGGGAGTATCCTGAATCCTGATATAATTGAAGTGACTTCTTTGCATTCTAATTTTGAGTGAACTGTCGTAGGGCACCAATGGGATTCGAAATAAATGAATAGAATTTGACGAGGGATGAATAATGACATTTGTGCAGGTATGTTAAGGTACCATTCGTGTGCATTCATCGTGTCATGCTACAATAAGAGATTAATCCTGTAACCGTTAGGAATGATTCAATTACAAAAAAAAATTCCCCATTCCATTTTTCCACACGCGCGCATGTGTTTTTTGCGTTGATGCTCTTAAATGTTGTAGGGTCCCTCAAGTCTTAGGATTAAGTAGCATTTCATACTCTTTTCGAATTCGCCTCGCCAAACTGTCGATTCCACCGTGAACGCGATGGCGTGCTAACCCTGTGAGGAGGTTCATTTGGTTCCAAAACATGGAATATCGACGCCGGAAAACAATGTGAAGGTCGATTCAAATCGTGTCGCCCACCAGGATCTCAAAAAAGCCTGTAACCAGCCCAAATGTACATATCGCCAACCTATGGCGTGGCATCCGAAATCATGAGCTGAAAAGGCGAAAGTGCAAAGACCACCGCAGGAAATCTGCATTTAGGGACGATATGCATCTCTCGGGCTGGAAGTATAATAAGTCAAGAGGGTTAGAATATGGCTCCGATCATTCGGAGTTATGATGTATTGTCTTGATTTGAACCCGACGTAGGATGTATAATAGAAATTGTAATTTTCCCCCAAGTCAGAAAAAAAAGGGGAAGGAAAAGCTTATAGGGAAAATCCCAATGCATCTGGGAGGGAATTGAACCCATGGAATTCGGAGCCATGCAGATGCGGCCACTTGGCAAATGTCGACCTGTGAAATTAAGCTGAGGTCGGAAGAAAAAGAGACGGATCTGCTTCAGATAACGAGGTGGGTGACAGAGAAGTCGCACTGAGAAGTAAACCAGCAGACCAGAAATTATTTAGCATGGCCTTGACGGAGCACTCCACAGCAATTAGGACGACACCACGGGGGAATTACATACCTCAGCCGTCGAAAGTGCTCTTTGCCAACCGTGCAATTTTCTCCATGGTGCGACCTGTATTATGCATCTACTAAAATATGAAACTCCAAATGGAATTTTGACTAGGCGGCATGCAAGAATCTTCTGGAGTCTATCTCAAAGCGCCGGTCGCTAAACGAGGAGGGAGTGGCCATCGGCAAGTCGCCTACAAATAAGTTATAGTTTTATCGAGAGAAACTAGTATGGACAAGCGGCGAGTAGCACTGACAAATATGACGTCTCCCAGAAGGAGAAAAGAAATCAATATCCAGGTAAGGTTCGCCCATTTTACTTTGACATCTGACGAGGATTTTAAATGTATAATAAATCAAATGAATGTGTACTAATCGATACATGACGATATACCTATGAAACATACAAATCGAAGTACGAAACAATCATTGAGCCTTAATTCTCCATTTCTCTAAACCTTCACATGCTTTTCTTGACATGTGCTTATACAGGTGCTTTAATTCCGGATACAAGTTCCCGCAATTAGGACACTGCATTCCATGAGGGTACAGGTGCTCCTCTTCACAGTGTCCTCTCGCCTCTGTAGCTGTAAACGTACTATGGTAGCCATGGGCATCACAAGTAACGAACAATCGGCAGAGGCTTGTATGGTTTACAGAGCTTTTATCCCCCCGGCTTGGGCAAGACGAATCGCAAGAGATGGTTGAGTGATGGGCGAGGCAATGATCTTCGATTTCGTCAAGGGTTAATTCTGCCTCGCACGATTTCATGGGACAGGTGTACAGGATATCCGGGGAATGGATGCGCTGAAGGGCATAGAAAACCTCCGGGACCTCCTCTGACGGAACGTTGTAGACTTTAAGGAGTGCGTTGATTTGGAAGTCCTTCAGAAGGACATATTCGTTCCGTCCGTTGGCCCTGTGTCGTTTTCGGTTAAGCGGTGACAGCTTCAATAATGATATAACGAACTCACAGGACTTCAGCTAAGGAAGATGGCGGGGAACTTCGGGAGAATCAGTGAAGAGAAGAAACGGATACAGAAAATCATGTACATAACCCGGCTTGACCATTTCGGACCAGGAGCCGTTCGGTTGTATGGCTTCTTTCTGCAGTCACGAGTGAGAAAAACGATGCAAAAACTGGTGTTAAAGAGAACATACACAGTATTTTTAGAAGCACCTGCCGGTTTCTTGGAGTCCTTGGTAGGCGACCTGTATGTTAATTATCAGTATATTATCGGAAACATAAATCTCGTAGACGTACGATCCAACACGCCCCAAACTGTTGTATTTCGCATCATGAAAGACAGGCGACTGGTCCAAAACTTGCTCTTGTTCGAAGGTTTTATATGAAGAGCCCTGTGAAGGCGACGCTACTGGACATCCATCCCGGATCATTGTATAATACGATGTAGAAGCAACGCCATATCCTCTAGCATACGATGGAACGAATGGTTCTGGAGCCGATCTTGCGGTGGACTGTCTTGTAAAAATGGCGTCGGCATCCCTCTGGGTGGATCCCAAGCTATCGAATGTAATAATACTCGGATTTGTTGGAAAGATAGTGTGCCTACTCTGCTCAATGGAGAACAAAATAGAGAACAAAGACACGTACTCAAATGAAGGACAATTCCCTCTGGGAGGGTAATTGGAATATGATGTACCAGTGTACCCGTCGCTTGAGTTGACGAGGTAGAATGGGTCACTAGGTGAAGCGCTTGCCGAGGATGAGTTCAAAGGCTCGTCGCTATACGACAGTGTAGAATGTTGGGTCGTGGTGGATATAATAGCGTTTGGGGAAACTGAGGCCGCATTCGTGCTGAAGGTAGTCCATGAGCAAAGACACGTGAATGTACGTGTCGGGAACTGTACCTAACAGCTCTGCTATTGTAGTCATCGCCAAGAAGGCCAAAGTCAAGGCCATTATCCAAATTCTGTCCACTCGCATTGTCGCCAATCTCAGCATTGTCCAGAAGGTCGAGACTTTCGGAGCTGTACCGCCTGCCGCTATGAAGTCGCGTCCTATCAGTAGAGGCAACGGTAAGGAAGAAGGAGCGCCACCCACGTGTTTGTCGCGTCCTTCTTCCAACGCAAGCCATCGAAAGACGCGTCGTTGAACAAGAAACAGAGAGGGTCGACGCTATTGAGGCATAAGTTCGATAGACGAAGACACAACTCCGTCACCGTACCTCCTTGACGCGTCGGGTACCGTGAATGGGAGATCGGAAGTCTGGAGATTGAACAGACTCCCGAAATCGTATTGTGCGGTGGCGTCTGGGGTTGAAGAGGGTGTCGAAGATTGAGGACATTCGTTGTTGTCGCTGAGAGGACATGTCAGTTGTCTATTTTCCGGCGGTGAGCAGACGTACAAATAAGGAGCTTGCTCCTGGATTTCCGACCAAGAGAAACCATTCCCAGCAGATGCCAGCTCTGCGGGATGTGCTAATCCCGTTGGAACATACTCAAGGGAATTGAGACAGGAAAAAATGTCTACCGGCGACATGGGGGATACGAAGGCAAAGAGAAAGACAAGATTACAGGGAGAATTTTGAAAGGCAGAGTCAAGTCCCGTGACAGAAGTGGAATGTGCAAAGGCAAGACACTCCGGGTACTATTGTCCATTCAACAACTCGACACGGTAGCAGGCGACGTTATTCAAAGACAAATTCGGGTTTGTGGCACATTGTTCCTCCGGCCAGGTAAACTGTCTATTCACGAACAGGAATCGAGGGTATAAGGATGTACAGTTATCAACGGTCATGCTGAGCGGTAGGGCTGCCGAAATATAACTCAAGGGTTTTTATGCCTAGAAAGCTACATGCGAGTGAGTGCTTATTTCTTGGTCACGATTCAAGGCATCAGAAAGAAGCCAGACTAAGGAGAGACAGAGAACCGAGCTTCAGCCTGTCCATAGACCTGGATACGTTACGGTAGGAGAAAAAAAGACAAGGAATGGTGTCGGATTATTCGGGATCTGAAAAACAAGAAATCCCTCGAAATTCAAGACAGTTCCGTAACTGTTGGACACCTCGATTATCGCCGTAAGTACTGCAGAGGAGAAATCCTGGGATCATCTAAGGGTAAAAGTTTACCAAAACGGCTGATGAAGTCCGTAGAAATTCGGTTGATGTATTTGCCAGCTATGTCGTGCTTCTCGACACGATTCCTGAGGCTGCTAAAAAATTCGCTGGTGATAGTTCGGGCTCCGGAAAGGAAGGATCCGGCAACGACTGAGCAAAGAGGTACAACCAAGCTACAACCCTTGAGCTGACGCTACAATGTCACGAAGTTACTCAGGACGGGTGATTAGAATGTAAGATACAGTGAAGGAATTATTGGAGAGGAAAAAATCAGTATCGGGCCGTTCCTTCTATTACGTGGAAGATTATACTGTCGCTTTGATTTTCTTCCTCTTACGCTTCGCTTTAATCCACTAACGGTGCACAATTTCCCAAGGAGCAAGAACGACTACACATCTCCCTGCCACCACTCACCTTTCCACAACCCAAGAATAATGCTAGATGGCATATTCAGACCTATCTCCATGAACCGAACTCGTGACATGGGATCGAACCACCCAGGAAACGTCAACACAAACCACGTCCAAACCCATGTGTAACCTATGAGCCGCGTCCATAACCCCGGATCACCGCTATGGCCAGGCTTCTGAGAAAGAGCTATAACTCCAGTTTCGCACATGATGGCGAACGGCTGGATGGAGAAGAACCATAAGCTTCCGCCGACGTTCCAGCGTTTGAACATGGTAAAATCGGCGACCATGTGGAGGAATACTGACGTTGCGAATGAGGTGTATAGCTGTATCAGAGACGACAGCAACGTTCCTGGAGGGAAACGGAAAACTCTCCGTGCAAGGTATTTTCCATGAGAAGAAGCGAACTAATCCTGCCAAATGAGTACATATCCTTCAGTTCATGGACTATAAAATCTCACCCGATTTACAAACTGATGCCAGGTACGCCTGAAATAAATCAGTGATATGAGGAAATACACTCAATGTAAATTACTCACCCCCATAGCCGTCTCAGTGTGTACGCGTCCAACAACGATCCAAACGGGTCCACCCAGTCTCGAGGGACCGACAGCCTCGAAAGGACAGAAACAATGCTGACTATTCCGTGCAGGATCCGCATCTGCGCCTGTGATGTCAAGACCCACGCGAGGAGATCAACGTAGAGCAACAACCAAGGTCGATCCGCCATCGATATCCCATCCCCCAGGAATGCCGGATTCGCGCGGTTATAAATTGACACTGCGTCGAGTAGGAACACGTTCAGCACTACAACGAACAGGCACCTTCGGATAAATGCCAAGCGGGTGGTATCAGGAGAAACCGGCGCGCAGAGCCGATTTGGCTGATGCATCCAACCAACTCCGCGGGGACTCGACCATAGTCTGATGCCCCACCGGAGACGCTCTGAGAGAGGTGCAGAGTCTACCGCGCTTTTCTGGCCTTTAAGTCGTAGCTCCTTCTGAGGTTCAGTGAGGAGGATGTAGTCTGATCCGAGCAGGATAGATCCAGCGTAGACGGATCCAAGAAAATAGTCGACGACAGGGTGGTGGGTGGTTGTGAAGGCAAGATAGGCGTCGCCGACGATGATGAATACCCACAAGATCCACCGATATGGATTTGGGGGGACTATTAATGAGGCAGGGAGAGAAATGAGTGTCGTCAAGGCAAACAATGGGAACGAGAAGGGAGGATAACCCTCTGCCAAGGTGTAACCCATTATTGAAGAAAAACGAGAGTAATAGGATGAATGAAATCTGTTGTGAATCGGTGTCTTGATGATTTCTAGGTGTGAAAGATAGGGAATGCAGGGTTGATTCGAGGAGAAGTCGGACATTTCGGCTTAAATGGACAGACCTTGCCGCGTGGCCTAGTTCATTATTGAATTATTGAAACGCCGTATTTGCAGGGATCTTGATCCCTGTTTGGAGCAGATACGGGTTCTGGAAGAACACTTGCTAATTTCATCCTCATCGGCAATACTGAGGCTATGGCAAGTTATGAAGCTGAGTCCTGCCGTGCTGCGCAAATGCAGGTAACAAGTCGCGAGGCGGTGAAAAAGAGCTTTAAGAAAAAATCGCGTCCGTCAAAGTGAGAGAGGAACAGACTCAATGGGTATCTACAATTGGAAGCTGGTTTGATGGCCACGTGGCAAATTATTCAACGCCACCGGACTCTAAAAGAACCCTGCAGTCTACCCTCATATAGTGAAGAACCATCGCTTGCTATCAAGCCTTTCTGTTCAAGCAAATTGAGGGGAGACAATGGACCTCGGCCGACTAGTTCTTCATACTTCAAAGGAGCTTACTCGACTTGTGTTTCGTGCGCTTGTAATTCCCGACAAATGTATTGAACCTCTCGTTCCCGTTCCCGTTAGAACCTTCCTCAGTACAAGGCGAGTCGTCTCTATTGCTACACAAACGCTGCAAGGTATGGACACCACTGACCGAGACAGGCCTACTTAAATCCCTAAAACCTGCCTTGAACAGGAAACTCCTATCACTCGACACGAGGATCCCATCATATTGACACATGAGACGAAGTTTTTACAGATACAAAATGGCAACAAATATTATGACCGCTTGCGTCCCTGTAAAGTCCAGGTTTTCCCAAAGTTCCGCAGGCGGTAGCATGTTAAATACCGATCCCTCGCTCTGCACTGTTCGTTCACCATAGCGCTTGATGGTGCTCTGCAGCTCGATAATACGTGAGTTTTTCTGCCACCTCGGATTCCTTCACTGGCTGACGATGCATATACAGCCTCGGGGCATTTGAAGTCGCAGTAACTGTCGCTTCCTTGTACGTCCAGTAGCTTCCGTCGTCTGTACGCTGTCTGACATACCATCCAGGCTTTTTGGAGGTAAGCCTATTCCTGGTCGCTTCTCATTCGAAAACCTCATCCACGGCTTCCTGTAGTTCTATGCGTACAGGTATGGAAATACACAACGACTACCAAAAAGATCCTTGGTAAATCAAGGCCCTGGTAGGTAAATGTTATTCTTTCCCTTATTCGCCCAACATACAACGGACCAGATGGCCGCTGTCTTCGTGGGTAACCTATTCCACAAGTTGTGCCCGAACCACTCGTGTGCGTATCGCGTTTATTCGTCTCATACCGTGTGGGCACTGAATGTTGGCTCAGTATACACATATACCGTAACACATTGGGGAGATGTCGAAGTCCTGGTTTCTATATCATGGTGCGTTCGAATAATTGTATTTGTGACACAACTTATATTTTGATCCAAGAGTTTTCTCGTGCGCTACCTGTCTCTCTTTACAACACGTCACTTACCTTAACATAGGTTCTACGTTTACAGGATTTGGAAACATGAGCTCCTCTTCTGCGCTTAAAAAAATAAGTCCTTATACATGGACTACAGTCAGTAATGGGAACTATCTCCTGACCTGCCCTTTAGTGCGCCCTGCTCTCAACGCATTTTTTTTTCAGCTACCTAAGAGATTCTAGGGCCCGATATCAGTTGCCGAGTTTAGTGTGTCCGACTTAGCTCAGTTCTCTTATGGGCGCTCATCAGTGACGTATCCTCATAGTCGTCAACATGTGTGAGTTTCTCCTTTGGTTAACTGCTATCATTTGACAAAGTTCCCTAGATGCTATTGATGGAGCGTAAGTACTACGTCCGATCCAGAGCATTTTTTTATGACCCTTATATCTCGTGTAGACGGAGGATTGCCATATACACAGACCAAGTTAAAATCAAGGTGAGAGCAGGTCTTCTCGCCGTCATGTGAATCGTGATTGCTATCTCTTCAGCCGTATCTCTTAGCATACAATTCCCTGGGAGCCGTCGAGGATCGCCTCCTTGCTGGAACAATGATGCTCTTACTGTTGGAGAGCCGAACGAGATTCAAAAAGTATGTACATTCGAATGATATCATGATGCTTAGCTGACCATGGGGTTTAGAATGAATACTATGATTACCCGCTTGGTCGGTCTTTTGTTTTGTATCCCTCAATACCGATCTTCTCATTAACATCTACCGAAGATGATGTACTGTGTAAACACAGGTAAGCCGGGACCATCAATTGCTTGAACACACTTTATCTGATGTCCTGCTGTCGTAGGGATCTTTACAAGGCACGCGACGTAGTATCCTCATGTCTGACTATGCCTGACGTCTTGATAATGCAGCATGGTAGCCCTTCTCACAATTATCACGGTCAGTTCATGTTTACATTCATATTTCATAGACTCATCCATACAGCTGGCCATCTGAGACGAAACCATGATCGACCATCCGTTCTACCTGTGAGTCATCCACGTCGTACTCATTTCGTCTCACTAATTAACCTTTTCCAGTTGCCCTCCCGAGATGTAGCACCGCTTCCAATTATATATGATCACTAACTCAAGCATGTTTACTCCAGTGTACGGCGCCTGGCTCTTCGGAATGCTCAACGCTCGCAACGGCATCCGAAACGGGACGCCGAATAATGGATACTCCTCTAACGAGATCTCATTCTCCTTAGCTCGAAGTGCACATACAGCTGCGGCGCCAATTCAAAGTTTATCTACGCATTCTGTGGGTCACTTATTCCCCATCTCACCTGGTTTGTCTGACGGTGAATCAAGGTGGACGCCAAGCCGAGTCATATTATGGTCAGCGTGTCTAGGGAGACTGATGGTGATACTGTTCGTGTGGACTTTACTCCCATGTGATATTTTTCTAACTCTTAGTACCTCTAGGAGCGATCACTGGGTAAAGAACATGAGTATCAGGCCATGCAAGGTGAAGACGCAGCGACGAATTTCCTTATTCGTCTCACGGGAATCAACGATTCTCGTACCTGTATTTCCTTCCTATTCGTGTAACGAGGAGAGTATATTCCTGAACTTGAAGAACCTGTGTATTATACTAAGAAGTAGATGCTCAAGCGCTCATTCAGACATGATATGTTTTTCCGCTTCGTCTGATGACATGTTTACACTGACGTCAATGCCAGTCGGTCCGGTGGTGTAGAACAAGGAGCTGAGAAACATATCATCCGTATGAATTCTTTTCCGCGGGGGTTATAATTGATTGATTTTTCCTCACCGCATCCAACTCTTTTGGCTGATGTCGGTGTCTTTCCTCAAACGCTCGGAACCGAGAAGCTAAGCGCTTAAGGGTGACGATATCACGCAAGTCTTGCTGCTTCTGGGATACATCCTTACTCAATGGACGATTTGATAAAATTCAACATATGTGCAACCATGAATCATGATAATCATCTCGAAGTGATAGTCAAATGTCATCCTCCAGTTCAGACCCCAAAATGCCTAGGGAACTGTACACATCACAGGGCCTCCCGGAGCCGTTCAATTTCTCATGGCTTCGAGAATATGGCGCCATCAGGGTATGGTGTTGGTTGGATAGCGAAAGAAGATCAACTTATGCCGTATTGACTTGAACGTTCATCACGTCCAACTTCCCCCCCTTGTTACCAGTTAGTACTTACGGAACTTCAACGAGCCGGTCGATGCAGGGAAGGTACGTCACTCACTAAATTAAGTGAGAAAATCAATCAGTTGACTCGAAGAAACAAACTTATTGTACCCCGAAAGATCTCTGGCAATTGATGGTTAATTTTTATGATGCGGAGTATATTGAAATAACCGGGATACTTAGCCCCATGATACGACTCACCCTTTTCTATAGCCGTTGTCTCTCTTTTCAGAAGAGTCCAGGTCACAAGTAGTTATATTGTGATGAGTTAAAATGGAACTGATAGAGAGCTATTCGGAAGTCCTAATTGGTTGACTATAAGCGGAGCGCGTGTTACGTAAAAGAGCGGCGACAACCACACGATCAGTGTCCTGCATGTTCTCTCGGCTCCATTCTAATCGGGAGGCAGTTCTCAGAAAGAAAGGGGAAAAAAACCAGCTGTCTGGAGAGAAAGGCTTAGAGAGTATTTCTATCCGTGATAGAATACATTCGGATGCTACGTCGGATCATCTGGGAGAGGCTCGAATGCACATCAGGTGCGTTACAATTATCTCCTCGGACGAACTTCCCTGAAGGAAATCCGAGGTCGGTGATAATTAGCCTACGGGGGGACAAAGAAAATCAACCCAAGTGTGCGCCGCCCAAGATAGTTTTGACGATTACCGCGTGTGAATCTCGGTAAGTAAAAAGATACGATGTGATCTGTGCCTAATCAATAGGCAAGAGAACTTAGATATGCACTCGGTATACGCAGTTGGTATCGCGTCCTGAAATTAGTTCATAAACGTAGCCTTTAGGACTAGGATAATACGTTACGAGGTGCACATCGGTTTCAGAAGATCTCGTCATGGGCTTGACCCGGAAGCAAAATCGCTTCAGTTTCAAAAATAGCAGATCTGTGTATATAGTCTCGTTGCATACGGGTCCGCATGGGTAGGCGTGAGGCCGCTTCTGAAGCTTTGGCTGAATCACGGTTCTGAATAACACTCCAGAAATTGTTTCGGTGATCGTTTGCGATTCGACCTTCTCGTCCGTAATCCTACATTCAGTGACAAGTTTTCCAGTCGTCTTATATTAGTATTACCTTGTGACCTTTATAAAAGTTAGGGTATTGACCCATTGTTTGATGTCCAGCATACATAGGCATCGACGCTTGGTGGGTTCTAGCGACTGAACACTACCGGTAAACTTCCTATTCGATCTCCTAATAAATTTGGTCCTAGCCTGTACGCCACGAATATTGCTATTCATCTACTCACAGAGTGATCTGACTCTCTTTAACGATAATTCCTGTCAAATTCCTCCTAATCAATGAAGTGTCCAACAACGAGAAGAACCCCCCAAACCTAGCTGAGATGCATCCAATACTAGTACTATCCTGCGAGCCTTCCGTATCACAACAGTTATCTCACCTAGCGCACGCTCTGGGTTTGAATCCCAACTGGCGAATAAGTTGACGGAATACGATTTTGAAAAACAGTCTTTTTCTTCGGGTCACATGTACATGTAGGTCTTCGAGCGTGGAATGAAACATTCACATTCCAGGAGTCTTCCTGCCACCCTGGGAAACACAGCCCGTGTTTTAACGTTGTTCAGACTGTGAACGTTCCCTAATCCCCCCAATTCCGGGCCGGTGGGTAATTCAGACAGCATATCATGCATCGTGCTCTAATTATAGTAATATCCGTCACGAAGTCTCTCGCCAATTCAGGTTCCATATTATCGCCCTATCCACACTAATCCACAGAACTGGGTATGGTCCAACGGTAATTCTTCCATGGCAGATCACCTGAGGTTCGATTCCTCAGGGTATCCGTGATTCAGGCATTAGGCAGTATGTTTGTTTATTCCTCTTTTTGAACGAGCACATGATGCTCCCAAGCCTCCCCAGATTCGAAGCCAACATTTATCCTGTCGCTCGCCAAATATTCACATCTTCATTCACATACGCTTTCTTTCGGTTTACCACCATTGAACTAGATATATATAATGCAACTGTTAGCGAGGTTTCCCGGGAGGTTCGAGTCCTCATATCTGAATTGAAAGTGCAGCTGTCTGCTAATATTTTACGTATCGCGCCATACTGGCTCGCCTCGCTCGAGGATCATGGTATTCGCCGAGAAGTCCACGAGAAAATCCCAAGTAGTACTAAAGTTTTCACTGCAGAGTTGAGATTTGAGAGATATCGATCACCTACGAATCCTTTATCCTCTTCCACATGTAAAGGAATTTAAGAGGCGCTCTCGGGCTGGTAGTATAATCAGTAGTAATGGGTAAAAGGGAAGATCCGCAAACAAAAAGTTAAAGGGTATAATCCTATGCATCTGGCGGGGAATCGAACCCGTGGGAGCCAGACAGATGTGCTCGGTTGATTAATATCGACCTACATCTGTGAACTTGAATCAAGGAAAAGAAGAAAAATTTACACTGGAAAACGAGGGATGGGTTATATTCTGAGAGCAGAAAAAAATTGCAAGGTTGTCGATATATATATCCCTAGCGATCGTATAGAAGGGAATGCTTTCTTCTGCACGAGAACACGCTCTCCTTGGCATGCTCCACGTATGAGCTGTCATTCCAAAGAATGCAATCATGCCAGACTCCGTAGCGAAGAAGAGAATTATGGACATTGCGTCAAGCCTGTACACAGAGGGCGTCGTAGTATGAAATGAACCGCTCCTTCCTGCCTTATGAGGCTGCTTCTAGCGCACTGGATGGGATTACAAGTGTTATCTGCATCGGGACTGCGTTGTCAGCTAAGCAACTGAGTGTAGAGGACGACTGACGTACTACGGATGTGAAGTGAGCTCGACGCCGTCACGCCAGATGTACACATCTCTTTCGGTTTTGTTGTCTAGAGATATATGTGCACAGAGATCATAGCATACACGCAAATCAGAGAGACGTGAAAGCTTCAGGACATGGGAACCATGCATGGCGATTCTTCCTTATAGAAGAAGGAAAATTATAGGATCTCCTCCAACAGGACGGGATCAGTAGAGTGGGAGGGAACTGGAGAAGTGAGAGCAGTTCGAAGGTGCAGAGATGAAGCGGGTGTTCAGGACGTTGTCGAAGGTGATCCTCGCAGGAGAGGGAGAATGCTCGATTACGCAGAGTCCATATGACGTAGCGGGTTTTTGTACTGATGTCCACAACATGCTTATAGCCCCGCACCGAGCACGCTGTGGAATAACTTCCTGTTATTGTTAATCAGCCTCGATTATAGGAATCGAGCGGTGCAAGGTGACGTACGTAGGAAGACGGGGTGGATATATGCTTGTAGTCTTGATGGTGACGAGCGTCAGGATGGAATGCATTCAGGAATATTGAAGAGACGACCAGACATTCATCCCACGCGTTTCGACTTGCACAGAATGGAGTCGGCAGCGATTCCATCCTCCTGGTGGCGGATCGTGTCAGAAAATGCGTAGATCGGAAAACACGACCTTACGGGGGACGCGGCATGGTCGAGCATGGAGAATCTGCTTCTGTCAGAAAGGTGTGATGATGAGAAGGAGGGAAACATACTTATGCGTGCAGCCCTCTCACACCCTCAGCCTCATTGGAATCTGGACGCTGCTTCTATCAGAAAAGTGTGATAACGAGAGGGAGGGCAACATACCTAGACGCTCCCTCCACTGGGGCATTGCGCACGATGGGCTTGGCCCTGCCTCGCGTGGTGGTTACATGCGCGCTTCCGGTGTGGGTAATCAGAGCAGAGGCTGCTAATAATCAGATGTACTGAAGGGCAACGAGTGGGCCGGGATGACATACCTAGGTGCTCTCCCTTCTCCGTAATTGGCCGATGACAAGCAGAATCGACGATGCCCGTCGTGCAAGTTCGAGAGGCATGATCGAGGACTTCAAACCCCACCCAGTCTAGTGCCCCCTTCCTTCCTTGTCCCCGCCCATCATATTTCCGGCATGGAGGTCGTGCGAGACAGGTGCAGTCAGAGATCAGAACGCTCATCCGGCTCAGGTCTGATTCCTGTCGGTGGATGCTAAGAGAAAGTTTGTGAGAGTGACATCACTGTCACCCCTGAGTTGATGCACGAGTTCGATCCTCGGCGAGAGATTCTATACTAGCCGTGTAAGGGAGTAATAGATAAACATGTTTTTTGTTGACATCTCGTCAGTGTAGAGGCTATACCGTCTATTAAGTGGGTTCGACTCCCAGCGAGTGCATAAAAGCGTCATAGTCTGGTATCTTTTTTTGTATTCAACGGGGGTTCTATCAACGTTTGGTTTCATATCGTAGCCATATGTGCTCTTAACAAGAGATTGATGCTGTGACCTTTTTCTCGAATTTAAATTTCGACCACATTTCTATTTCTTGAGTATACCAATATCGATCAAAGCGGAGAACAAGCCGATCCCAATCGTGCGA